ATACATACACACGCACACACACACATAAATGAAGTCTACTCGTGTACCCCGCACAACTGGAATATGTACGTGAACCCTTCACTATACACCAAATGTAAAGCTATATATAGAATGTGGTACGTACCGATACCGGACGTGGCAACAAAGACTTTCGGTGGTTTGGCCATCGCAGCCACGCTCTTCGCTAGATCCCTCGTCCTATCAATGCGAGACTCTCGTACTGACCTCTCAAACTCGGGTGTCCACCTGATATCGCAGAGTAGCGAAGCAAGCGGTTAGTAACTACCCGTGCGGACTGATATGGTGAGCGGCCATACGTATACGATACGAGTACCAAATCAGGTCAATAGAAATCAGAGTCCGGACTTCTGGATCACATTTAGATTGACGGGTTGCTCGGTTGGAGACTATACGAATGTGCAGTGATGATCAGAGCTCAGCTCCGTTGGATGTGTTGTACTGCCAGTGCGTGCTTTGTACAATGAACAGCGCCCAGTCTGAGTAAACGTTCTCCCCAGTACTGGCATTGAAACGCAAATTAACTAGTATATGTGTCTCTATTTAGTCCTTATTGTATATTCACCATCGTTTGTTGTGGGGTAATGTATTGCGCAGTGCTAAATTGGGTATACTCTCAATCCAAAAATATGACTAGGTTTAGAAGAGCACGGCAGATATATAAAAATATAGACATTTATATAAATTAACATCTAGTAGTTCACCCGTATATTGTATTCCTGACATAGAGGCTAAAGGTTGACTGCTGTACTGCATTACTGTTAGAAAAATGTGCAGAAGCTTTTGATTGATATGTGAAAGTTGCCAAGGATGTTCAAATCCCGCGTGAGTACCACTAGATGTTTACCTGCAGCACTAGAAGCCACGAACAGAAAACCCAGTCAAAGCTCTCAGACTACCTCAGGGCAGTTGCGCCCAGTCACATATATAGATGCACACTCACATGACAATCATACATAGTCTGATGAGCATATCCAGCACACCTGCTTGTAAAATCGAGCACAATATGGTCTACAGCCTAAGGAGCTACGGTTAGAAAAACAGTCAAAGTTCCAAGGCTGTCTTAGTGGAGCTGCAGCCAGTTACAAATTCAGATGAACACTATCATGTCATTCGTACACAATCTGATCAGGATCTCTTGTACGCACCTCTTTGTAAAATCGAGAACATTTTGGCCCGAACAATTAACAACCGCATCGCACTCGGGTAGACCATTGCCCCTGACTTCGTCCCAAGTGATTCTACCAGCCCCCGCGCTTCTGGACAGGACTATGACCTCTGTGCCTCTCCTCTCCAGGGCTTTCTTTATGAGCCCGCCTACATACCCCGAGCCACCTCCTGAGGATTATAATAGTAGTAGTATTTGGCAGTCATCCCGTGGAGGGGTAGGTGTACCAGGAGAGCAATATTTAATACAATCAATAGGTCCCAACTACCAGGCCCGAAAATCATATCGCTATGTCTTGCATTAATCGGGTGACTATCATATGATGGTGAACCTCATTCTTCGGATCGCTAGCTCTCCGTATTGATACCAACAGCATGGGCAAATTTATACGAAGCCTTTCGAAGGATTGCAAGTGGAAAACAAAGCCATTCTATAAACACGTACTATGGTATCTCCAGTTTACTGAATAACATCTAGTCATATTTCGGTATCGTTCTGCATCATATATATATATACTCCCACTAACCTTCCTATCACAGAGGATGACTTAGG